AAATGAATGTAGAAAAAAACATATTTACTCATATTTTTGTCAGCGAATATAACCACTTTTCTATTTCCTTCGATGTCATGCCAAATATAGTTAGCTTGAACAAATGGCATCTTATACGAAACTCCAATATATTGGAACCGAAGAGATTGAAAAACTTCAACATTCACATTCCTATCCATTATCTATAAACAATTGAAAGATAATTTAAATAAATTTATGAAATAATAATATAATATACTAATCATTAGAAGAATTAAATACCTTCATACTCTTTGAAATACTCTTTATATACATATATATATATATATATATATATATATATATATATATATATATATATATATATATATATATATATATATATAGGGCTAGGTTATAATGTGGATGATAAGTATTGTGTGAATGTAGGAATAAATATGGACCAAGAGTTATAATACACATTCTAATAGAATACATATTCTGACAAAATACATATTCTGATTGAATGAATATTTTGAATAATAACAAAATTTTGAACTATGAGTTGAAGAATAACAACATTCGTAAAGAACAATCATCAATTATTAATATTATTGAAGAATCTAAGGTCCAAAAATAAACAAAAAAAAAACACAATTTTTACTGTCACATTATATAAAAATACAATGTTATTTTTTTGAATTTTTTCCACATTTTATTAGAATACAAGCTTTATAGTGAGTAATTCTTAAAAAAAAAAATCTTTATTCTATAAGAATACAATATCATTCATGAAAGAATCTTCATTCTCATTCTTGTTTCATGATGTTATATTTTGACAATTTGGTGTGGTCAATTTCAATTGTCATGAAATTGTCTCTTAATTTCCATCCACTATTATTGTTTCAAACAACTTTGCTACATTCTGAGTGGTCCTGAAACAAAACACATACAAATAATGAAGTTCAAGAATATAAATACATACAACTTGTGACCTCATGGACAAATTGTCCATTTATACAAATGCTTCGTATATTGAAAATTAGAAGTTTAGCGGTTTGCTTGTTTAGGTGATTTAGTTATATGATTTTGTAATTGCATCATCCATCAAAACACAAAAAAAGAGACCAAATATTGTAAAATTATCTATAGTAAACATAAACCCAATATGATTTTGTAATTGCATCTCTGTTGTAAAATTAAGAATAAGTAAAATTAAGAACATTATAAAATTATCTATACTAAACCTAAACCCAATATAAATTATATATTCAATAGTCAGATGTACAAAAATCACAAGACTGTGATGTTCTTAAACATTACCTGAGAAAGCCACAAAAGTGTAACATATGATGAATATGAACTAGCCGTTTGACAAACCAATTAAAGTCTCGATTCTTTAAAACCCTCAAACCGAAAGATAACAATGAATTTTATACATATCGGGGGTTGACGATGTTCTTGATTTCAAGATGGTCGTACTTGGAAGTAAAGAGTCTGACATAAATAGTAAAGAATAACAAGCATTTGAGAAGATTAATTTCTGATTTAATAAAAAAAATAACAATCATTTTCGATTTGATTGAATATTAAACCTAAATAGATTTAGAGAACCTTGTTACTAGGATGATTGTTACCAGGATGAGTAGAATTTAGCTTTTTGCCATATTTAAAGGATGATATGGTGGGGAAACGGCCTTTTCCTTCACCTCTTCAAGTTCTGAGAAGATACGACAGAGGTTTGATTGTTGGATGCACCACCCTTTGACTCTTCCCCGCTCAGTCGTTCATATTCCACATTCGACAATCATTCTCCACAAACAAACATTGTGAACGGTCAGTTCTTCGATGGAAGAAAAGAGTCTGCATCAGTTTCCAACTGATGGCAAGAGATAAGAGAAAAGATGGTGGTGACGTGAGGTTGTCTAGGGCCGAACATCGATGGAGGCAGGAGGAATACAATTTTGTGGGTGTCGATGGAAGAGGCAATATGGTTTTAAATAAAGTAATTTTCCTAAATTAAAGGGTAAATGATTTAATTAACTATTTATTAAAATTAAATAATACTTGGCCCATATTAATCCTTACATCCACACAATATTTGTTCATCCACATTTGAACCTCTCTCTCTTTCTCTCTCTTTCTCTCTCTCTCTCTCTCTCTCTTTATATATATATATATATATATATATATATATATATATATATATATATATATAAACCCGAATAACAAAAAAAAGAATCATAGAAAATAAAACCAATCATCTATCAAGTTTACTTAACAACAAAATCATAGATTTTAAGCATAAATTCATTTGTACCTCTGTATTAGGTATTATTCAGCCATATGACAATAAAAATAAATACACAAATGTAATAAAATAAGCGACTATGATAATTTCCATTCCTGTATGTTAATGATTTGAAATCATCAAATATGAGAGAAAAGAATAACCTTTTGGAAAATGAGAAAGAAAGCCGGAGACAAAACATGTATTATGCTTTATAGTGAAGAATACTACTTATATAACAAAAAATATGTGTGTATGAAAGTAGAATGAGTTAAGAAACGGTTATGCATATTTTTTAGGATGCAGTTACTTTTTAAATTTAAAATAAAATATTTATTATTTACTGCTAATAGATAAGTATAAGAAACACTACCATTAATAAAATTAACATCAAACATCAAATCCGTAACAACCTATGACCAACACTAATCTTTACTTAAGAACGGAAATAACCATCTACAAAATCCTTGCCTTGTAAATACGAAAATAAAAGGGGGGAAGACATGAAAACAATGCTTGAATCTGTAATTGTACTTGTTACATGTATTTTTCCTTTCAATATGAAAATTGCATATTTTGTTTTGAAGATCATCAACCAAAATATGATTTCCATTATTTGCAATTTTCTTATGATTTATATATATATATATATATATATATATATATATATATATATATATATATATATATATATATATATATATATATATATATATATATATATATATATATATATATATATATATATATGGACAGATTTGCCAAGATTGACAATTTTACCCCTCAATAGGCCAATACTCATTGTTTTATGTTGTTGATCCTTACCTAAATAGATTTAATATTGGCATTGCTTTCAGGCTTACATAGACTTCATGGGCTGTTGGTTGATATTTTTATTAGTTTTGTAAACACTTGGACCATTTTACCCCTAGTTGGTTGTTAATGATGTGGTGTTAGAATGATAACATGAGTTTGTGAAGGTGGAGAGACCATAAGCTAATAACCTTAAAATTAAGTGATGGTTAGAATTAAATTTGCATAAAGTACAATACTATTGTTCACAAATTTAAACAACTTCAAAATGACATGATGATTAATGTTTAGAAATGCTTAACCTTTTAACCTACATGATGATTAAAATTACATTTCCCTAAATTACAATGTTATGTTTTACAAAAAAACACCCCTGTTAATTGTTAGTAACTGTACTTTATAGAAACACCATTTGTCATTTGAGAAAAAATAGGATATTTTTTGTTTCAATCAATAAACGTATTTGTAAAAAAACGAAATATACCTTTGTTATACTGTGTACTTAATGGAGAACCTAATTGTTAATGAAAGAAAACATGGGTTTTTTTGTCCAAATGTCAAACCTATAAGTTAATATGTTATCATATTAGTCCCAACTGGCTGAATTATGTCCCATAAAGTGACATTCATACTAAGATCTTTGCTCACATGCCATGGAACAGGAAAAACTTAACATTCATATGGTCTACATACCTCTTAATTTATCCTCTTGTGATATATTTTAAACTTCACTGGAAGTGGACTTAACATGTTTACCAGTTTAAAACCCACAAGGAAATGAAAAACCATAATGAGTAGATAATGTCTCATATGTATTTTTGTCCAATACTCAATTATCTCAGGAGAGTCACTTTCAGAATCAATGGATTTGGCCCAAAACATTAATGCTACACACATGAAAGATAAGCCTTATAAAAAAGGAATCACCTGATATGAAAAGCATGTACATATATAATAATTATTCTTGATCTTGAGATACCATCCATGTATAATTACTATTATTTGCACTTTTCTTACGATTCAAATATATGTATTTAGACAGATTTGCCAACGTTGACTGTTATACCCCTGAAAAGGCCAATATACTCATTGTTTTATGGTGTTGCTCTAAACCTAAATAGATTTAATATTGGCATTGGTTTCAGTCTTATATAGAGTTCATGTGCTGTTGGTTGCTATTTTTATGAGTTTTGTAAACACTTGGACCATTTACCCCCATTTGGTTGTTCATCATGTCGACTTAGAATCATAACATCCGTTTGTGAAGGTGGAGACAGTATAAGCTGATAACCTTAAAAGTAACTGATGCTTAGAATTAACTTTTCATAAAGTACAATACTATTTTTCACAAATTTAAATAACTTCAAAATTACATGATGATTAATGTTTAGAAATGCTTAAGTTTTTAAACTATGTGATGATTAAAATTACATTTCCCTAAAGTACAATGCTATTTTTCAGAAAAAGATGCCCTTGTTGATTGTTAGTAAGTGTACTTTACAAAAACACAATTTGTCATTGGAGAAAAATAGGATATTTTTTTCCAACCCAATAAAGGTATTTGTAAAAAAAGCAAATATACCCTCTTAAGGAGTGGACCTCTAGTAACATGACAATTACAAAAATTTCAAAAGCTATATAAAAAACAAAAATTTAATATAACTGTCGAAATCTCAAATGGAAAAAAAAGTGAACAAAACAACATTTACATCTTTGGAAACAAAAAATAATTAATTTTTTTAACATTAAAATATATGAAACACTTAAGATCATTTAATGGCCAAAAATATGATTCTTAAACAAATTAGAACCAGAACTTAAAATGTATCCATATATGAAAATCATAATAATTAATATAATTGAACTAAGCAAAGCTAGAAATGACTCAACATTCCATCAAACATTTATCAAATACCTAAATTCTTTTCTAAAGCATAAGGTTTGCAAGATAGAGTCAAAACAACAACTAAACATAATACTGAAAACGAAGCATCCTCAACTCAACAAAGTTAACACAAACATACTAAAACCAACTTATAGACACATCAAGGCTCCACATTTGACTCATCAAGTAGTTTTATGGGTCGATTTCTATTGTGAATGCAGGCCCTGACATGCTTTTTTGGTTGTATGACATCCTCTTCCTCATCATAATTTGAGGAGAGGTCCACAACTTCATCCAACTTCCACTGTGTCAGAGCTAAAATCCTTTTTATTTTCCTTTCGAACTATTAATCTTCTTTAGCAATTTTACAAACCTGAAAACAAAAAATAAAACATCATAAACTATTAACAATTGATGAAAAGGCCACCAATTTTTACCTCTTCTACAATTACCCTTTCCAAAATGGATTTATAAGGAGTGAAGTGAGGAGAATACTCAATTATCTCAGGAGAGTCACTTTTAGAATCAATGGATTTGACTGATATTGTTTGAAGGTCGGCATTTTCATGAACGACTTCAGTGTTCTTCATAATGCAATGATAAGAAATTTAAAATCATATATCAAAAAACATATCAAATGAAAAAAATAAACGATAGTTAGATTGAACGATATAATAAAACCAACAATTTAATCATTTTTGAATTGAGATAGATACAATTAAGCACAAAAAAAAGTATAATTTTCCAAATACAAGAATCTAAATCGAAACATGTATTCAAGAAACTTAACCCTCGGTGAAATCTTAGTAGAGTCACTTTCAGAACCAATGGATTTAGCTGATAATGTTTGAATATCGGCAATATCATGAACGACTTCAGTCTCCTACATTATGCAATGATAAGAAATTAAAATCATATATCAAAAAACATAGCGAATAACCAATAAAAAACGATTGTAAGATTGAACAATATAATAAAACAAACGATTGAATCATTTTTGAACATGGGATTTTAAATCTAAACATCTAGTCAATAAATTTTACCTTCCGTGAAGTATCTTCTAACAGAAAAGGCAATTTCTCCTCCATTATTGATCAACCAATATATAGATTTGAAGTGATGGAATATTGAATAAATTCAAATAAGCCACATATTCTCTTATATAGGCAGAGAAGTTACCACATCTACCTCATATTTAGGGATTATGGAGAAGTGGGGGTTAAAGACGTAATCGGAGTAGGTTGAAGCCATAACTGAATCACTCTTTGAAGGAGATTGATTAACCGATTGAATGCTTGTTGAAGAAGAAAACCGACGATGGTTGAGAACGTGGGGCGACGACGAACTGCCATGGATAGCCAATAAAAGTGAAGGTGAGCAGTTGAAGGAGAGGGGGGTTAGCCGAACGTGGGAAAGAAGAAGCGGAGCAAAGAAACTGTAAAAATAACTGTAAAATAGGAGTTTATGCGGCTAAGATCAAAAGTTAAAGAGATCCAACGACTAAAAATGATGGAGCGGTTATTTGTGACTCGTGCTTAGTAATAATAATAATTCTCCCAATCTCATAATCCATTTACATATTCCAATCAAATCCCTAATTTTCCTTACCGGTTCACCGATGAAATGGAAGATTCAAATACGCTAAAAGAAACCGATTCATCCAACAATTTCTTCAATTTCTTCATCTTTGATTTAACCAAACTCATCTTAGCTTACCTCCCAATTTGTTCAATCATCCCTTGCTTCGTCGTCTGCAATCTCTGGCACTCAATTTCACCTCCCTATTGTTCGTCGCCACCACTGCAACACCCCCTTTGTTCTTCTTCTACAACAAAAGCAACATTTCTGTGAAAACAATCAAGCATTTTCATTCAAACCTGAGCCAAATAAGTGGATCAAACTCCAAATAAATCTACTTTTGTTTCAATTTTGCAGGAAGTATCGTTTATAGGCTCCAATGGGGTTTTCTTCAACACCAATGCTAATATTTCAGTTTTGCCCCAATTTTGAAGCCCTTTTGACGAGAAAGAACATCACTGTAATTCTCATGATTAAACCCTCTAGTTCGTGTTTTAGTTATGAGTTTTCATTGATTTTTGTTGGCCAGATTATGCAACAATCATTATCGACCTTCATTTAATACATTAAGAATTGATATATTTAACAATGGAATCTAGTGAAGTTGCGGTTATGCCTCCTTGTTTTATTAATTGTTTGTTTGAACTATGATATTTTAAACTTTCATTAAACTATAATAGACAATTTACAAACATAATAATTTAAAATGATTATTAAATATTAAAAATAAGAATTTGGGCAAATTTAATATTTTTAAAGTTTGTAAAAAATAAATATGATATTTAAAAATTAAGTTTGATAAATATGATATTTTAAAAAGGATATATATAAAATTAAGTTTGTAAAGAATAAATATGATATTTTAAATTTATAAAGGATATTTTTAAAGTTTGTAACGAATAAATATGATATTTAAAAATGAAGTTTGATAAATATGATATTTTAAAAAGTATATATATAAAATTCTTCCTATTATTTATATTAGAAAATAGTTTTTAAAATTGAAAAAAGAAAAAAAAAGATGTTAAATAAATACAAAAAGAATTTCACCTAAAATATCAACACTAAAACACAAGAGAGGAGAGATCTCTCCCCCTCGTGTTCCATGTACACACCAACCCTAATTTTCTCCCTTAATTTCCCCTCTTTTTGATCTTATTCCTTCAAATCTATGCTGGATTCCTCTCAATCTATCTTAAATTCATTCATTTAGGTAGAAATATTTGCGATTCCATCTTTTCTGTATCTTCTTCTCTGAAATTTCAGGAACCGCTATATATATAGAAAACATATATGTACAGAGACCGCGGTGGCTCGTCGTCGAGGTTGGAGATGGTGGGAGGAGGTGGAGCGGGGCCGTTAGATCGGAAAAGAATCAATGATGCCTTGGATAAGCACTTAGAAAAGACATCATCGCCTTCGACTTCTAGGGTTTTGAATATCAGCAACAAGGAGAAAGAGAAATTCTCCATGCCTTCAACTTCCACAGCTGGTGGTGGAAAATCGTTCCACCTGGACAACCGTTCCTCCTCCACCATCGCCAATACCAAAAGCAAGTGCTCAGATGGTTCGTTTTCTTCTATAATCATCTTTTCCGCTTTCAGGTTTTTAAATATATCTTTTCTCATCTTCTTATCTTCTGCAATACGATAGAATTCTAGCATGCAGACAAAAATTCAATTCGCTTACCTATATAACGAACCACAAACATACACCTATAATCTGATTTCAAATTCAACATTTCCATATCCTGTTTAAGTTTCAGCACAAATTAGGTTACAAATCGTGTTCTTCATCACAAATGTGAGGTTTATTTATTTATTTATTTTTTATTTTTTGTTTCAGAAGAATCAGAAACAGCCAGCGAGGAGTCTGAAGTTAGTGGTTCAGATGAAGATGACACATCTTGGATTTCCTGGTTTTGCAACTTGAGAGGGAATGAATTCTTCTGCGAAGTTGATGATGAATACATTCAAGATGATTTCAATCTTTGTGGATTAAGCAGTCAAGTTCCTTACTTTGATTACGCTCTCGATCTAATTCTAGATGTGGAATCCTCTCATGGTAACCTCTCCTATCCCTACATCTACTTCCCCTTCAAAATCAAACCTTCAATTTCAATCAAAAATGAGTTTATCTTTTCTAAATTTTACAAACAGGAGACATGTTCACTGAAGAACAGAATGAACTTGTTGAATCAGCAGCAGAGATGCTGTATGGTTTGATACATGTCCGATATATATTAACAACCAAAGGAATGTCTGCAATGGTATGATTTAATGATTTATTAATACGACTTTATCATTTTATTTTGTTATTTTGAATATTCTTTTTATAAATTTTACAGTTGGAGAAATATAAACATTATGATTTTGGAAGGTGCCCGAGAGTTTATTGCTGCGGGCAGCCTTGTCTTCCTGTTGGTCAATCAGACATTCCTCGGTCAAGCACTGTGAAAATATACTGCCCGAAATGTGAAGACATCTACTACCCTCGATCCAAATACCAAGGCAGTATCCTCCTCATATTTCATGCTAAATTTACCTTTTTACCCTTTCTGTCTTCCTCTTTGTCAAAAACAAAAAAATATGACTTTGATACCTTTGACTTTCCATGTGGTTTTTAAACTAGATAAGAAAAAAAAACATGTAAATAAATATAGGGTAGAATTGAAAAATGACAATTTTGCCCCTGGTTGTGACTATTATTTTTCTTGACTTCCATAGATATTGATGGAGCTTATTTTGGCACCACATTCCCTCACTTTTTCTTGATGACTCATGGGCCCCTCAAGCCACAAAAGGCAACACAATGCTACATTCCAAGAGTCTTCGGCTTCAAGCTCCATAAACCCTGATTGTGGGACCCACTTAGTAGCCTCAAAGAGTCAAAGTAAAATCTTATTGAGAAGAAGTTCCATGAAATTGTCCAATTTCAAGGTTAGTTGAAATGCAAATATTATTATTAGAAAAAGAAAAAAATGGAACTTTATTTATTTGGTGATATGGGGGGTTTGTTTATGGCTCATGTATTTCTTGAGCAAAAACTTAGTCTTGAAAAAAAGTAATTGAAATTATGGTGTTAACATATTAGTTTCAAGTCAACTTTTTTTTTTTGAAAATTTGGTTTGGTGATTTATATATGGAAATTCGCTTCGCCTTGTAGTTTTTAGTTTTATTGAGGAAGAGGGCATTTATGTCCTTTGTACCTTTTTGATTGGACAAATGAATTGCAATTTTTGTCCTCTTGACACAATGTTTTTGTTGTCATAATTCATGATCATATTATCTAATGTCATAGGTGTTTTTACTTAAAGAAAGTGTTAAAAATGAAATTAGGATAACTTTTTTTAGTTTAAACTAGGAACTAATTTAGAGTAAACTAATAAAGGTAAAACCCCCCACTTTGCAAGGGGACCCAACTTGTGTAATTACGAAAGTGTAGGGAGCAAACCTGTAGATATACAGAAGACTTGTGGCCAAAGTGTAAAAACCAGAAAAGTTAATCTGCAAAATTTTCTATTAGGTAGGGACTATTTTTGTAATTTTTTTAAAGGTAATTTGCAAATTTTATGAACTTATGGACATTTTCTACAAAAAAATCTGCGTAGGAACCTTTTCTGTAATTTATACGGATAGTTTTTGTAATTTATTTTCTACACAGACCAAATCTGCCAATATGCGAAAGTTTTAAATATGGGGACTAATTTTGTAATTTATTTTGTATGTAGGGACCAAAACTGCTAAAACACTAAACTATTGTGGCCAAAAAATGAAACTAAAAAGTATATTATTCGTTTCCACTTTGTAATTAGATATATATAATAATTACATTTTTGGTCCATGTGGTTAGACAAATTTTTTCAATTTTAGGTTTTATAACATTTTTATAGTTTTTGATCCTTTAATATATTTGATATAATCTTAAATATTACTAAAAGAAAAACTTTATGACATCATCTTAAATAATCTGGACCATTGATTCTATTTCAATCTTATTTTTTCCACCCTTAGATTTAATTGCTGATATCATCCTCCACATATGGAATGTATTTAATTCCAATAAATGCTTTCCAATCATCAATCAATAACTTACATTCGTTGAAATGGAATGTATTTAATTCTAATAAAAGCTTTCTATATTTTACATCTTGAATTTTCAGTTATGAAGATTTTAATATGATCAATTTTAAAAATATATTACTAACAAATCATTTCAATCAAGGCCTTAATATCAACCATTAATATAAATCCATTTATATTAGTAACCAGTAATATAAATTTTTTTTTATTAGGAAATTATTAATACCGAAAAATCATATTCAAATTATCACATACATTACGATTCATCATTGAATCCGCGACTCACATTTATCTTCAATCGTTTCTTTTCTTCAAACCTTCTCCTACAACATCGTTAATATTGCTTATAACTTCCATCATCATTCTCTGCTATCAACATTCGCTCTTGTGTGCTAGAAGGTCAGTACCTTCTTTCGCTTTTTATATTTTTTTCGATCATTTTTTGTTCCTATATCAAATGTATGTATTCATATATTTCGATTTTCTTTGTCACAAATTACATGAAATTAGGAATGGCAATGGGGTGGGGCGTGGATTCCCAAACCCGCCCCGATAACTTTCGGGTATCTTATCGGGGCACCCAATTGGGTTTCGGGTTTTCCCGTCGGGTTTCGGGTATCTTATCGGGTTTACAATTGATAACGAAATCTTTATTCTCTTTTAGGGTATCCCAATGTCTTATAAAATATACATGTTCTAGCAACTCTTTTAAATTAAAAACATGATGTATCACTTTAATAAAATAAACTGGACGTTATATAAAAAATTATTTGATTTAAGTTTTGTTTAATACGTCAAAACACATAAAAATGATCATTAACATCAGATTGTTAATAACTAAAAAAATTGTCCACGATAAATATTTTATATTTGAATGTGTACAATTAACAACAAAAATTTTTGAACATATATATATATATATATATATATATATATATATATATATATATATATATATATATATATATATATATATATATATAATCGGGGTGGGGCGGATCGGGGCGAGGATAACCCACTCCTTGCCCCGAACCCGATAAAAAAACCCGATAACGACCCGAAATGATCGGGTTTCGGGTTTCCCCATCGGGTTCGGGTTTTTTTGCCATCCCTACATGAAATCAGTTAACTACTTTTCTGAAACTTTTCAAATAAACATGAAAATGTATTAGGTACCTTTAACAAAACAAAAATTAACTATCTTGGGAATTGACATTAATTACGAAATTGTTACTTTTATATATTAGAGATGATTATGATTTTTTTTTAATTTTTATGTTATAAGAATCCGGTTAATTTTGGCATGATTTTAAAATATCATTGAAATTATTATGTTTTTGTATATCATATCAACCTACTTTTTTATCTTCGTATAGTAACAATAAAATTTATTAATTTGCACAACAAATATAGATATTTCAAATTTTGTAATATTATTATACCTTACAAAATACAACTCCTTCCAAAATAAATTTTCGCCAGTAATTTCATCCATAATTTCAACAAATTTAAATTTGTATTTTCTTTATATAATTTTTTTTAATGATGCTGATTTTTTTTTCTCCAAAAAGTATATCAAACATTTACGTTTTAGATAATGTTGTCCTATTATAATTATTATTTTCCAAAAATATATCCGTTTAATGAGGAATTTGATATAATAAAGGAAATGAATGTTAATTAAAATGAGATATATATTCCATAATTATTACATGAGTTTATTAAAAAAAAATTAATATCAAGGTGTAAACATTAAACATTTTTAAAGTGAAATTTCAGAATACATACAAACGATGATGTTGTACAATGAAATATAAAATTGAATAAACTGAAAAAAAAAACACTATTAAAGCAGTTAATTTTAAAAATAACATAGTTATGAAAAATTATAAAGTAATATTAAAATTATAAGATATTAGGAGATTTGTAAAAAGTACATTTAGTAAAAACGTTACGGTTATTAGAAAAAATAAGACCGTTAAGATTAGTGAAAATACAATATATAAACTAAATTATCACAATAGTAATGAAATTTTATTATTTGTATTTCATATAATTGACAGATATATCAAATTAAATTGTTGATATACTAAAATTATTCAAAGTTGCGCCAAAACTAATGCAAAGTTTTTGCGAACACTAAATAAATAAGAACAAACATAAAAGTTAGCATTTATATTTATAATCAATTTAAAATAAAACAATCATGATTTAGAAAAGAATCTCCATTGATAATATACTAAAATTAAATGTATATAACATTTAACATTTTATAAATTATATTACATAACTTTATTTGAATAAATGAAATAGTTATTAATATTTAATGCAATAGAAAAAACACTATATTGATTGTCAATATATGTTTAAATTAGGTAACATTATTATGTAAGAAACATCTAATTAAAATGCTTATAAATATATAAATATCATAACTATATAAGACGAGGAAAGTTGTTCAACTAATAAAACAAAAAATGATGTCTACAAAGAGATCTTTCAATGATTATATATATTTATCGTTTTCAATGTATTTTCTACACATTTCAATAATACCAATAACCATATTTTTTTATAATCATTATACAATATCTATAAACGATTATATGTTTTTTATGTGTTTCCCGCGTTTAACGCGAGCTATAATCTAGTGTTGATGCATAGAAATGACCATTGATTATATACATGTAATTAGTCGATTTTAACGTATTTTCAGAAAGTAAATAACATAGGGTTAAGGCATTTATGAAGAATAATAGGCTATTTCTATAGGGAAATCTAGAGAAAAATCTAAAACTTTTGTCGAAAAGTTTAAATAAAGTTAATTTTTTTTTAACAGAAAAGTTCCATTATTTTGAGAATATCATTTGTTGTTCAAATATAAAAAAGTTTTTTTTGTTAATTTGAGAAAATGTTATATAATTGGTATTTTTCTGTTTTTTTTTATTTTTTATTTTTTTTTATATTTTTTTAAAAATTTTAGGATTTTATTAAATTTTTTTTTAAATGTTTGAGATTTTTCTGTAGATTTTTCTTTCTGGGATGTGGTAAAAAAAGTGCAAAATAGCAATTTGAATAAGTATATAAACTATTTGAATAAGTATATAAACTGCCACAATAACTCAACATGATATTTAACTTATAAACAATATGAAAACGACATAACATGGATACTATATCTGGATAAAAGTAATCTAAATTAGCGATTTGAATAAGAAGATATGCTACTACACCAACTCAACATGCAATTTAATAGGTGAACAAAATGAATAAATATATAAACTACCACAAAGAACCAACATGTAATTTAATTTATAAACAAGATGAAAACCGAAAAAATATGGATACTATATTGTTTTGGTCAAAAATCGAACAAACGAAGATCAACCAAGTTGTATGAGAGATTGTGGCGTTATGAATAACGTGAGTACTGAATGAGATAAAAATAATACGAGTGGTTTATAAAGAAAGCCTTTGATCCTTGCTAGAATCTTCGACATAAAACATTGGGATGTGATAATGATCACATGTCTTGTATGATCTTCTTGATTTAAATGTAAATTACATAGAGGATAATAGAAATACGATTACAAGTGTTTGCCTAGCTCTAAGTCTATAAGGTGTCAAAAGATTGTGACCATTGTGTGTCATTTACAAGTGTATTTATAGTCTAGGTTAAGTAACTACAAGTTCGCGATTCTTGGTATCCTGTTGAACTAGTATTTGCAATGTGCTTTGACTTGGAATTCCTGGGTTTTAAGCCTAATTGGAGTGATTCTTTGTTGTGCATAAGTCATATGTTGATCATTTTTGCACATGTGAGAAATAAACCAGAAATATAGCCGTTAAACTAGTTAGGAAATAATAATGACGATGTTTGGGATTCTGATGTATGTTCGGGATCCTAAGACTCCTTTAAGATCCAGGATCCTGGATAGGTTTAAGGATCGTTAGATATCTTTGAGATCCGAGATCCTTGATTGGATTGAGGATCTCGGCCCTAAAATATATGGATAAAAACAAATTAAATTAGTGGTTTTGATCAGTAGAAAATCAAACCCTCGGTTATGAAGCTGAACCATCATTTGAGTAATACCATTCCACGGACCCATCCAACTTCTCCTTGGAACCAATAAAGAATGATCCCTTTCCATACCGTAGAGGGCTTTGGCAACCCTGGTCCACATCAAATTTGGATAATGGAAGAATCTCCCACGCCATCGAAAAAGCATAACTCTATTGAACGAGAACAAGCTTCCCACGCCTAACACTGTTGCTTATATGGAAGCTAGAATTCAATCCCATTTGACCTAATGCAGATGTCTCTCATACGTGTTCACATCCAAGAAAAACATATCCTGCATAGCCTCCAAATTATTAAGAATCGTAACCAAGGTAGGGAACATCGACATCAGATAACTACCAAAGGACCTGAAAACCGACTCAATCAAAGTAAGTTGAACACCAAAAGAAAGGCTTTTGGCCTTCCAACCCGTCAATTGTAACGAC